TTGGGCACATTCCAAGCTGGGGACTGAAGTGAAGGTGACTTTTTAAATGCATCTTCACCGGTTTCCCTTTCGTCTCTGGAGCCTGTGGTGACACCGGGTCGCTCCCTCTTGTGTGAGGATGCGCAGGGGCTGATTATCTATCGCTTTCTGTGCATCCATAACTGTCGGAGAATACGGCTATTGAATTTAAATCCGATTAATATTTAATATTAAACATTTCTCAGGGAATTTTTGTTTGTTTTTAGCAAAGCACAATATCCCACGGACATTTTTTAAAATAGCTTCTCTTAATACAATGATCCTCGGAAAAAAAAACCCCCTATGAACATTCAAGTGTTGCTTAATTAGAAAATGAGCGTAATCCTGCGAAGCTGAGCTCGGTCCCTTCTGATCCCTGCTCCTCATCTGTTCTGGGCGCTGAGACCGTCCGAGTTTCCTGGATGAAAACGTCATCTCAGGATTCCCTGAGCCTGGTCTTCAGCAAAACCAGACGTTGCGTCTGGCTCTTCGGAAGCAGAGGAAGGGTTTCCGTTGCTGCAGCAAGCCGGGACACGTTCTTGCCTCGAAGGGGAAAGCACAGAAGTGGCTTCCTGCCCCCTCGCCCCGGTGCCCAAAGCATCGCGAAGCGGGGAGCAGAAGTGTGGCCAACTCGCGGTAGCACTTGGCAGGGCTGCAACAGCCTCGCTCAGAGCCCAGGGGCCAGCTAGAAAATAATGTGCACGTGGAAAACGCTTCCCGGGAAGCGAGCGAGAGCGCGACCTCCGCAGCGTGCCCGGGGGGGAGCGGCCGCCGTTTTAAGCTGCCTGCACAAGCGCTGCGGCGCAGTCAGGCGCGTATCCCTCTTTCTGGACAAATTAATGAGCGATTCAATTAATCCAATCCGAGAGCAGCCTAAGTGCTATGGTAATGAAGTTAAATGAGCGCACAGGAAAATGTTCCCTAATCCAGCACCCTGCGAATGCCCCTTTCCTTGCGCCGAGCACTGGCAGGCTTCTGAGCACCGTAATGAGATTCCTCTGCCTGCTAATTAATTGCCACCCTCCTGAATATTCATATGTGCTCGCACCAGCCCGTTCCTAATTGCACCGCGGAATGGATCTCCGAGGGAAGGAAATCGCCACAGACTTAATTAAAGTAATGTATGCCGGCTCCAGCCCGCCGAGGAGGGGCCGTTTGCCAGGCAGCGCAGCCAGGAAGCCGCACGTGGCTGGAGGGAGGCGCGAGGCGGGGTCGGAGCGCGGGCCCGGGACCCGGGCAGGCGGAGGCAATGCGGGCAGGGCCGCCCTCTGCAGAGGCGCGGCGGGA